CTGGGTCTCAAACACAGGCCGAGGTAGTTCGTACATTACAAGTAAAACAGCCAGGATTGTCGATGATAGAATGTTGCAACAACAACCAGAAGGGAAGTCGCCTGTTACCAGCCCGTCCGATTCGCGCAGACTTTGACGACACCCAGCAACCCATCACAGTGCGGACAAATTCCTCTGACCTATAGTCATCCAGCAGGACACATAAAGCTCGTCACAGAGGCCGACGCAAAAAAGAAGTCAGAGGGTTTGGCAAGGTGTTTGAGTGGGGAACTTGGAATTTAGCTGACCTTCGGATGCCGAAAAGGGTCTAATGCCACGAAATAATAACAGCTCTGAAACATCATGTCAATAGCAAGAGTCATAAGACATGACTCGACACTCCGTTTTCTGCGAAACTGCAGGCAAAGTTCCGGGCTCCGCTGACAGTTGTAGTTGAACATCAGGGGGTATCTCTGTCGCAGAACGACGAAGCCCACCATGCAAGCAGCGACCATCCCACTGTTCCTGAGTTTCGAGAAAATGGTGGGTATCTGGGTAAGGTGGGTCCAAGCTTTAGGATGCGGTTCTTCGGGCTCAATGCCAGGGTCTAGGATATTCAGTGGCCGCACTTCCAGATGGAACGAAACAGGGCCTTTACCCCGAAATCGCTCCTGCCACTTGCAACTGGAGGACGTGACGAGTCCCGTGAGGAAGGTATACAAGTCACCTGCTGCGTTCGTCTCCACCCCAGACACCTGATTCAAAGGAAGAGAAGGATCCTTCACTGGCGCTGCTGCTACTCTCGACACTCGTTCATGGCCATGTCTTCGTACCACCCGTAGCGTCACCCGGCTATGATTTTGCAGCCTACATCGTAACTACTGCAGCCGGTGCAGTTCAATACCTCGAGCAACGAATGAAATGGCAATGGTCGCAAGAAGCTCGATCGGCCTTTTGTTTCAGAAGAACCGCTCCTTCGCTAAAGTCTGAGATCGCTCGTCATTATGCACCAGCTTTATTGCTTGGGGGCGCATGGCGTAGCCCTGCCCACCCATGTGAAGGCTAGGATGGGATTCGGGGAGCATGCAACCCTTGGCTATTCTTTTGGCTACTGCTTTGTCCAAACATGCGTCACCGTCTTTGACTAACAGACCCTCTGTAATCATGTTCGCCTCGGCTACTTCATCACACGGGCCACTTTTGGGGGCGGGGGGAGGCCGTTGCTGGGCTTCCAAGGGCTTTAGATGAGCTATAGTAGTAATCGTCAATGGTAAGCACCAGTTACTGATGTAGATGAACACTGGGAGACTCACTATGACCCACTTTGTCGTCTCCACATTGCTCATGGTGTCAACAATCTCACAATGAAGCACAGTGCAGCACCAAGCAGTAGTTTAAGAAGTCGACAGCTAGTGTAAAGTTAGCCTTGTACACAACTACCAGCCCAAAGCCGAAGCCAACCATGCGACAAACTGCCAATCGGAAACGTTATCCTCTTCCGTTCTGCCTCTGCAGCGTTGGCGGGTGCGCTGCTTGTGGAGCTGGTGGAGTTGTTGGAATCGACTGGCTCCTGATAGGTGATATACGAAGGGCGGTCGGGAAGTTGAGAGAGAGTGTGCTCCTACACACAAATCAATCAAACGAACAAATGAGTGATGAGTGGCTATGAAGGACGACAGACTCACAGGGCGTTGAGGCAGGGCTGCTCCTTCGGTGACGATACCTCTGAACGGCCATGGGCTGAAACTGCACCACACTGCCTGATGTGTGTTTTCCACCGGGTAACTGTAACTCGCACTGGCTACTGTAGCAGAAGTGCCACAGCACCCGACCGAAAAGGATTGAAATGCTTGTTCCTGGTGAGGCTTGCACTTCGGCCATGGATACTCACCCATAAACGCCTCGATCTTCAAATCCTCAACACTAAGCAGCTCCACGGCCTGCCGAGCTGTAGAAACTGAACCGTATCATTCTTTGGGCTTTTCAGCTTTTCAAAGCAATCCTTAGATTTCACTCGGTTTCTCTAGCTGTTTCCTAGCTTTTTGTTTTTACTCGGTCGGCTGGCAGCTCTGTAGTGCCCAATGTCGCAGAATGAATCTATGGCTCTGAACACCATACCAAGGACTGAAAGCAGCAAGAATCACTGCTCCTGCCGGGTCGAAGCATGCCGGCCGCTTGCATCGTTTGCACTGACCTCAGCAGACATGTTGGGCCTGTTTGGCTTCTTCCTGACGATGAGTGCTCTCGGCATGGGAGCCTAGACTGTAGCCTGCACCGCGCTTTGGCAGTGAGGGCCATCGCAGTCGGCTAGAAGGACTTAACATGTAAAAACAATGCAAACATGTTTCTTGTGGACTTCTAGCTTCCGCGCGGTGTCCTGAACTTCACCGCGTGCCGCCCAACCCCTTCTGTCTCTGTCTGTCTCTGTCTGTCTGTCTGTCTCTGCGTCTGTCTCTCTCGCTGTCTGTCTGTCTGTCTGTCTGTCCCCCAGTGCCTTCATGGCCTCGACGATCTGGAGGCCCCCCCTGGTCTGGTGGCTGCTCGAAGTTGCCGAAGTCCTTGGGCCAGCATGGCCATCCCCACTGAGTGTGCTCGGCGGCCTGGCTGCGAGCCGCCGCAGTTGTGCGCTGACCTCTGAGAACTCTGTTGACTGGCGCTTGCGCTTCGCCCCCACAAGTGGATCTTCCACCTTTTGTTGGAGTGCCACCTTGGAGGTTCGAGCCAGCACCGCAGCAAGGCGGCGCGGCACCGTCTCACCATGGCTATGGCGAGGCATCCTTGCGGCGCCACTACTCTGTCGCCGCTACTGCTAAACTCCCCTAGCTGTGTCTGCATGAGCCTCTCTGTCTCTCCCTCCCCCCCTCGGTCCGACCAACTCTCTCACGCATATATGTACGCCAGGGAGCAGATGTCTGAGTCTGCAGCAGTGCGACATCAAGCAAAATCTCCTGTGGGTCGACACTGATCAGGCTTGCGGGCTAAGGTATGACTATAGGAACAGCTGAAGGCTATACTCATTGCACTTCCAAGTTACGATCAACGCTTGAGTTGTAGTGAAAGTCGTACGTACCCATCCAGAAGTAAGCTTAAGCAGGCTAATCTTTGCTACTCCCCAGAACTAAAGCACTACCGCAACACAGCCAGCGAGTGCAAAAACTACGGATGCTGTCTTCCGCGTTGATTACTCGGTTGTGTCGTTTAGCATGTGCAGTATCTCTTCCGCGTGCAATGGCCAGTCTTGCCCTAACTGGTAGAAGTTGCTTTTGACAAGTGCGCAGAATCTGCGGCAGTAGGACAGAGCTTGGATGACTGGCAGCTAGACCCTGAAAGACATGCATGAAACGATGGCTCATACCGCATGTCTATATTTCGAAGTATGGGACAACAAGAAGCATGTTTTTGTCCTACTGGTCCAGCAGCACAATTAATCGGTTTGGAGCCAGATCGTGGGGTAGGTATTCACCGCTTTCGCTCTCCTCGTTCTCGTCGTAGAGTGCAAAGGCACCAAGGCTCGCCCAAGCCTGCACAGATTCGGTTGTGAGGCTACGCGAATTTCGGGCTTACCGGCTATGGTGTCCAAGGTGACTTCTTTTAAGACTTCGGGCTAACACGTGGCCTTCGTGCAGTTAGCTACCTGGGCCCACGCGAGCAGTGTACGTGTCCTTATTCACTGATACATGCGGAAAGAACATATTGCGCTGGTCACGTTGCTGTTCTATGTGTGGTCTGATTGACATCTCAATACCAACCACCTACTCAAGAAAGAAAGACCGCAACGGCAGACTCCCACACTGAGCTCCTAAACCGTCGAAGCCCAGTTGCGAGCAGGAGGAAGATACGGGACGTCAACATGGAGGCCACCGGCACCTGGAGTGCTCCCGCTTGCATTCTTGAGGCTGAGCCCGGAACTTCGAGATGAAGGTCGCAGTCTTGCAAAGAGGTCGAAACCACTGCGAACAAAGCGATGTTTAGATAACACGCAGCTTGCGTTCAGCATGTGTGCACGTCGGAGATGCGGGACGGGTTGCGACAGGAGTACGACGATGTGCGAAACGTCTTGATGCAGGTTTCCCCCTTTGGTTCTGCTATATAGGGCATGTTCCACAGGCTTGCTTGGGATGGCAGCATGGCATCCCCTGCTTTACCTCACAATTAAGTTGTCAACTTCTGGCGCTGCGTTTGACTCGCAACACAGAAGCATAGCCAACAGCAGCTCCTACCACGGCCGTTTCATAACTTGTTCAATCCAACATAATACTGAAGGCAGAGGCAGAGACTGACGCCTTCGCAGCACCTTGCGGTCCAAGCAGCCCAAAGAAGGGCAAGGGTTCAGTCGTTTGCTACGGATGCGCCGCCGCTAAGGTGTCGAGTGGCGCTAGACGGCTGCGAAAGCAACAATGACAAAACAACGGAATAACAGGACTTGGCAAACCACAAGGACTCAAGCATGATGAAGCCAGCGCAATCAAAAGACGACCCACCAGTAGCTGGTAGAATCTGGCAGAAGCGTATCTCGCCTTGATGGCTGCGGGACATCGCAGCTGTTGCTGCAGAAGGGTTCCTTCTGCCCGGCAGCACGCTGAAGCCCAAGATGAGCATATGATTTGCTTAAGAAAGTGCTTGCCACAAAATCGCCGTTGGGACTCGGCTCATCTGCTATCGTTCGTCCACTTTTTCGTACGTGTCGCTACCATTCGCTACCCATGGCACCGCAGCGTGAAGACTGGGCAGGAGGCTGAAGACTCCGACAACCTTTCAACCCGGCTGAGGCAACAGCACTCATCTTGGACCGCCGACACCGGTAACGCCTGAACCAAGGGAGTCGAGAGCCATGGAGCTGCAAAGTTCCATAGCTCGGTTGCCTGCAAAGGCCCTTTCGTCGCTTCGGAGCACTTGTCTAAAGAAAGCTTTTTCCCCGCCGCGCCCCCGACATGCAGCTTTTCCACGACGAGGGAACAAACTAGAGGGCTGCAAAGTGTGCTCAATCCCAATCGTCCTGGCTGCACTTTGAACGACCCTACTCACGGCTGCTTCCGCAGCCGTCTCTTGCCGCTGGACTCCTGCTCTTGCAGCAATGACCTGTGCTGCGATTTCTGTGTTTTTCTGCTCTAAGCTTGCTACTCTCATTCTCAGACTTTCAGATGCGGAGCTGACATTCCGAGGCTCAAGGTTTGCTGTTAGTGTTTGTAGGGCCTCCGACTTTTGCACTTGGTCTTCAGGTTAGTTTCTGGGGTGAAATTACGAAACTTCTGAAGCACCTCGCATACACATGTTGCTTTCCCCTACCGGCATGTGATTTGCAAGTTCTGCTATTGGGTTAGTGACGATTAGTGATTAGTGTACACAATGGGCTGAACACAGTCAGCCCCTGCGGGCCGAGTCCAGAAGTGCTTCTGTGGCCTAGAGCCCCTTCAGGCCTTGAACGCTCCTTGCCCCGACTCTACTGGACAGCCTCCCTTTTTCCACTAACCTGAAAAGATCATGAAGGGTAGTGTCCCTGCAAGGGTGCGCAAAATTCACCAACTTCGCAACTGCTGGGACCTAAGATACCCTTCCGACTGTCACACCGACCCGAAGCACTCAAAAACCTAAGAAAATCCGAGGCCAAGCGGCTGAGGATCAGGAACGATGACTTTCGGAGTGAAAGAGTCACCTTAGGTGTGGCTCCCACCCATACAAGTCTTCTGTTTTTGCAAGGTTTTGACCGGCCTTCTTGACGTGCACGCGTACAGCGGAGAGCCCCACAAGCTTCAACTGCGTAACTACGAGCAAAACCAGACAGGAGTCTCGGATGGACGATAAGCCCCTAGCAGCCCGACTGTTAATCCTGCCCGTTCTTCAGAACCAGGCCAACTTACGTCACAGCGTTGACGCTTGCAAGGATCACGCAACAAGTCCTTCTAAGCCCAACCGCCAAAGCATGCCTGCATTTGAAGCAGTACTGTCTTCCCGAAATTCTGAGCCACGAGAATCAGCTTCTAGGTTCTAGTGCAGATCCTGAAAAGCTCTGTCTGAAGACCTCAAGAGACAGCCCGAAGTGCCAGAAAGGGGACCTAAGGAGGATACAGAAGCATGGCTCGCACTTGGGACAAGGGCTCCAGACTCCAGATATCCAACACATGCATCCGCAGTAGACTGACTCGGAGTTGGCCTCCAAACTGAGATTTCCCTGCACCCCTCGGTCAAAGAGTCCGTTTCAAGTGCAAGGCACGTTTGATAATTGAACGACAGGGTATTGAAGGTTCATTTAGATTGGGAGCATCGCCGAGCCCAAGGCTGACACTTGAACTAAACCTACTTCCTTGCCACCCGGCTGATATGCATCTTCAGGCATATAATGTGATGGTCACCACATTCCTAAAACCATCTTAGCTCGTGCGCTGTGCGGCATCATTGTCGCTACTCTGGTGCTATATAGTCTACAGGACACTACCAGTGAGAGTACTTACCATCCTGGTCATGATGCATATCATGAATACGAGAAGACGATCAGCGTTACTTCCCTGATTTCCTCGATTGAAGCACACCGGCCTGGTTCTGCCAGGATTGCGCTGTTTCCGGGGGACCTCGATGTCTAGGGCTTTATAGGGCACACAAACAGCACGAGGATCATACTGTAGAAGAAACAATACACGAGAATCACTGCTATTCAAGCACCCGCCACTAGCATTAAGAATCCATCACACCCGGCAAGCGGGAAACCATCTTCGAGCAATTCGCACGGGTGATCAGAGCTTTGGGGACCTCAGGGCTCCTCGGTAGAGAGGTCAGGGCTAGGGCTTCATGTCTGTGTGGTCACCATTGAAGTTTATGATCGTATCAGCAACTACTGTACCCGCGAAGATGGCTCGGTGGAGCTAAACTTAGAGGAGCAGCAGAGTGCTTGGAAGGTCTGGGAGCACATAGCACATTGAGGCACATGGGCCTCGCCCATGTAGCTGCAGTGCAGCGACAGGCATCATTAAGCAAATTGAGCCGTTGGCACCTTGTAACCTCACCCTAAGCCCGGGATTGAGTCTGAGTCGAGCCAGACCTGCCACCCCTCCATACCTTACATGGTATGGATTCCGTGCCCTTTGCAGCATGGGTTTGGATCGTGGGCCAGCGAACATTCCTCAACAGCAGGGCCTTCTCGTTTGACGAGGGATTCTGTGCCCTTTTTACACCTGGACTACGCATATGCCAGGAACTGAGGTGCCGACTGTGCCTTAAACCGTCTGAAGATGTTACAAATCGGGCTGGCTTTTGGGAGACAGGGGCCTCCTGAAACCCCCTCAGCAGGCTCAATACCCTGAAAAGCCCATAAGGCCAAGACCTAAACCCGAATCAGAACCCTTAGCCCTAAAGCCCGAAACCCCAGAAAGCACGACTTGCTCCAGAACCGTTGGAAACAAACCGAGAAGGCTCGTTTGAAGCTGACAGGGTCGGGCAACTGCCGGAAGCCAGGGACCGGGAAGAGCAAACCCGGCAGAGGCGACACCTGAAACCCAGCTTCGATTATTGGGGTTGAAGGGGAAAACTCCAAAACGGAAACAGGGCTTCAGCTTGACGTTGGTCCTTCACCTCTGGACAGTAACTGTAGAGAACAACTGTAGTGGTCCTGAGAACTGAAGGGTCGCTCCGTGTTGCGGAAGCGACATCCTACATTCCCAAATGCGACCCGCTCAGATGTGGCATCGCTGGCGGGCACCATCCAGATTAACTCCCTCTCTTCCGACCTTCGCACCACAGCCCTGAGTCTGGTTTTCCACCACGGATCGAATCCCAGGACTCTTTGACCCGAAAGCCCTCAAAACCACAAAACCCCACTCGCGGGGAAGGGCGCCTTTTTGGACTTGATGCCGGCAGGAATCTTTGGACCCTCCTCATGTCAGCTCACAGGAGGGCGGGCCGCAAAGTACGGCTGAGTCTCAGAGTTTTCACACTTGCTACTGTGTATATATGACAGTCAACGAGTTAAGATGACGTACACGCGCACGAGGAACGTTTCCAAGCCCAGGTGCAGTGCAAAAAAGCCACTGCAAAATTGAATACTTGCAACTCAGCAAATGGGTCCGGAATTATTTGAGGAATTTTTTTTGTTTTATTTGGGGAATTTTTTTTGTTTTTAGCTTTTGCTTGGGAAAGGGGGGGCAGGGAGGGAGGGAGGGAGGGAGGGGGGAGGGGGGGGAGGGGAGGGGGGGGGGGGGGGGGAGGGGGGGGGGGGGGAGGGAGGACGGGGAGGGAGAGGGAGGGAGAGGGAGAGGGAGAGGGGAGAGGGGAGAGGGGAGAGGGGAGACGGGAGAGGGAAGAGGGAAGAGGGAAGAGGGGAGGGAGAGGGAGAGGGAGAGGGAGAGGCAAAGGGAGAGGGAGAGGCAGAGGGAGAGGCGGCGAGGGCGAGGGCGAGGAAGAGGGAAAGAGGAAGAGGGAGAGCGAGAGAAAGGGAGGAAATGGGGGGAAAGGAAAGCAGGGAGGAAGGGAAGAAGAAGGCAAGGGCGCCAAAAAAGAAGAAGGCAAAAACGCAAGCAAACGAACAAACAAGCAAGCAACCAAGAACTCGAGGAAACAAAGGGAAGAAATGTAAAAGGAAAGTCAATAAGCACAAAGCAGCAGCAACACAAGGAATAACGGCAAACAGAATAGATATGTAGATGTGTCTGTGTGTATGCGTGTATATACCTCTACTCCGGTCAGACACCTGAAAGGTGAGCCGGCACTTACAAGGAATAGCGGATTAAAAAAACAGATATGTATATGTGCATATGTGTATGCATCTATACTCCTCTACTCCGGTCAAGTACTTGAAATTCCAGTCAGATACCTGCAAGGTGAGCCGGCGCGCACAAGGAATGGCGTCTTTTCGACAGATATGTATAATATGTGCATCTGCCTGGTTAGAAATGGTCTTTGAGATTGATCATGGTCAAAAAGAAATCAATTTGCTTAATGCACCACTCAACAACGAGGTCATGGGGTAGCGGCTCCAGTTATTGCACTGCCAAGCAGCACCGCTGATGCTCATGATGCGCGTGTCTTGTCCGCCCCCAAACCTGGTGATGCTGGTCCTAAAACCCAAACCGCCTGGTCCGTCTCGTTCTCCCACAGCCGAAATCTTGAGCCAGTGAGTGTTTATGAGAGGGTCTAGTGAAGAGGGACATGCGATATGTGATAAGTGCGCACCTGTGCACAATCAAGTGTGACTCCAAGCCTATTGAAATCTTGCCGCACACGAAGCCATGGAAATCCACCCGGACGAGGTGCGGTTCAACCGCACAAAACATGTAATGCTCAAAAAAATCAACTTTTCCAACCCTTGCAACGCACGAAACACTGCTATGCTCAAAAAATTCCAAACTTTTAAGGACTCTGCCCCCGGCCTGGCCATAGATGCCAGAATTTTGGGATTTTTTTGAGCAGTACAGTGTTTCGTGAGTTTCAGGGCTGGAAATTTTGGAAGTTTTTTGAGCATCACAGTGTTTTCTGATGTCCAGGACAGGATATATTGCATCACAAGATAATTGTGTGCTTTCAACCGTTGTCAAGGACTGGAAGTAATCTTCTGGAACAACAACGGTTTTCATTGCTCTTGTTAGGTAAGTATGAAAAAGGCCTAGTCGTTGCAGAGTTTATTTCATATATGTTTTCGTTGGTTGGTAGATCTATGGCACCAGCAGCACTGGCTCCAGTACCTGAGCTTTATCGAAAATGGTTTTGGCCATTCTTCGGCAAGCTGCACCGCCTACAGATCCATCACTGTAGCAGCGCAAGCCTATCTAGAACTTAATTCATTTCATGTTGAAGACTGTGGGAAACTGTTTGCATCTTGCTATCATCAGAAACAATGGAGACTTCCTATTCGGTTTCCTATGAGACATCCTCATACCTATCAAGCAAGAGACATGAAGATTCCTGCTAACCCAGAAGAGAATTCTACGATGTCACCTGTAGTCTTTGAAGACTGAAGAGAGCTCTTTTTCATGTTGTGATACGAACTATGACAGCGTTTAAACCACAGTCACATACAGAAGGACCGGTATCGCTTTGTCAGGATGTGAGGGAGGTGTAGAAACCGATACAAGTCTTATGCCTCTTGCCCGTTTAATAAAAGATACCAGTAAGCAAGCTTCTCTTTGTTTCTTGATCACATCTGGGGAGTGTCGCTTGAAGATTGAAGAGAGCTACTTTTTCCGCTACGTTCTATGACAGCAATTAGAGAAACAGCCATGGACATAGCGATCGGCATCTTCTGCGGGGTATAGGACAGCATCATTAATAAGAGTTAACCGAATGAAAACTCATGGCCCTCCATGAAGTGCCATTTTACTTTGTTTTACAAGGTTAAGGAGCCCCTGCCTTGTGATTGATACGTATCAATGCAGCCAGTCGTAATTAGTCCTGCTCCATGTTTGGAAGGTTGCAAGAGCTCTCTTACTTATTGCTGCAGACGAGCCTTCTTGTGCGCCCGCATATGCACATGAACTTTCCAACTCCAGGGGGGCTTTCCCATTTTTTATGAGGCAAAGAACAACTATTGGAGTATTGCTTCAAAAATAAATGCGCCCGTATATTCGACTTCCTCCGTGTATAACGGACAGGACATGAAAGGAGCTCTTTGTGTTTCGTAACTCATAAATCAAATGCTAGAGCTATGAGGCCGCATCAGAATCGGACGCTCACGAGCAGCGGGAAAGAGATGGCCCACGCACACAGACGTTCTCGTAAGAAAGACAATAGTATTTTTATTATTAGAGGAATGTCGTTAAATAACACACCATAAAACGCAAAAAAACACGAGGTTTTTTAGTACTACCTGAACAAAAATAGCACGCCCTCCAGCATTTCAGCTTCTCCAACATATAAACTACCATAAATCTGCTGCCGAAATTCGGCGCCAGACTTTTACACATATCAAACCCGCGACTTGTAGCAGTACTGTTTGCATGCACATGGAGTAAAGCACAATTGTATCGGAATTTACGGTGTTTTCGGCATATATGAGTAGTCTACCAATGTAGAGAAGCAACCTGTGGAATTGTGTGGAAGAGGCGGATGTAGATCTTGGGGGGGGGGGGTGACCATATATATATATATATATATATACTCTATATTTAATTTATATACTGACATACTACCGACCCTCCTTTCTTCCTTCTTTCTTTTCGTCCTTGCTTCCTTCATTCCTTCCTTTCCTCCCTTCTTGCTTTGTTTCTTTCTTTTCTTCCTTCGATCCTTTTTCCTTGCTTCCTTTCCTTCCTTCCTTCCTTCCTTCCTTGTGTCCTTGCCTTCTTGTGAAGAAGTCAGGAGGCCAGGCCAGGTCGAGAAGCCAGGAAGCCAATTAGTGTTGAGGCAAAGAAGGCCAACAAGACAGCAAACCAGGAAGGAAATCCCATAAACCAAGAAGCCAAAAGACGACAACAAACCAGCAAGGAAAGCCAAAAAGCCGAGAAGCAGAAAGCAAAAGCAAAAAGCAAAACCAGTAAAAAGCAAAGGCAGAAAACAACAGGCCAACGCCCAACAGCCGAATAAGCAAAAGCGAAAACAAAAAAAAATCCCCAAAAAAAACAAAATAAATTCCTCAAATAATTAGGATTCCTCAGCAAATTGGCAAACGACAAGATAGAACATCCACGCTGCAACGGGCTGGTTCCTTGTGATACAGTACTAATCATCACAGGCATTCATGCTAACAGCTCGCGAACATGAAATCACAGAAATAGTGTTGTAATCGCATTGGTTCTCCGGTCCATGTACGATGCAATTCCACTGACTGCTCTATTGCTGACAGCACTTTTTTTAGAAGACAAGACGAGGCTAGCCGTTGGTGGAGAAAGACCCAGCCTCTACTAACTACTACACCAGACAGGACCTATGCGCTCAATGCCCTGCGGTATGTAGCCGCGGTCCTCAAGCCGTCACGATTTGGAGCCGAATGGCTAGAGGGAAATCGTCCATCGAAGTCACTGGTCATTCAGATCTACGGTTACAAATATTGTTCTTCTGGGTCCCAAGGAATGGTGTGGCCTTCATGTGATCACAACTCCTTGGAATGTCGAAGAATTACTGGAAACACTGAAGAGCCCGCACGCCCGAACCCCTCAAGACTGCAATGCTACTAAGAAAACACTTTGAACTTCGGTATACGCGACGACTTATAGGTGGAGCAACAACAGCAGCGAAAACAAAATCAGGGGTACACCGAATCAATCTCAGTTAGTAACTCCACCACGCAAAGAACCCCAAATCCTACATTTAAACTCAAAAAAATACGTTTCCCAGAACATATACCTCAAACTGCGGGAAGGTCGCCCCGGGCTCTACAAAGGCTACGTCCACGGAGGCAACGTCGCTGACCTCGGTTTTCCAGCCCGCCGCCTGCTTGCAGGAGGCTTATTATCTTTTCCCATAGGTTATTCATTTTGGGCTAGAGGGTGTGAGGTTTTGGGGCCAATTAGTTGAGCTACTTCGGCGCAATATAGAGTTTAGAGGATATAAGGCCTTGATGTGGGGCTTGTGAAATAAGACTCACCATGTTGGGTATGCAGTTGTCTGGCCCCTTATTCCCCGCGGTGACTCTACAGCTCCGATTGTAGCCGGATTTTACACTCAAACAATCATGAGGACCGAAGGTTAGAAAATACTCCCAACAGTGGCTTGGGCTTTTCAGTGACTATGATAATCATTGCCGCCATTTTGGTAGACGGCCTGCTGACTTCTGTTTTCATATCAGATATCATGCAATGAGTAGAGTAGAACTTTGAATGTATAGCTATTAGTAATATTAGTTGTACTTACTCTCACAGACAGTAACGGTTCCTAACGATTTTGCACAATTGTTTGAGCTTTCCGGCCTTGGCAGCCTTCTTGGCGGCGTCCACGAACTCCTGCTTTCCTGACCCCGCAGAGACTATTTACTTCTGGGGTGCCACCGGGCTTTTCGGAAGAGGGCAACGAGCTTAACTTTCGGAGTTGAGTGGCAACAGCCGCCCCGCACGTGCGGTTGTTGAACTTGTAGTTGTGGCAGGACTGAGAAAAAGCTGCAGCATGAGCCATCAGCATCATCATCATCATCATTGTCTGCAGAATCAGCGGCACTATGAACAGTTCTATTGAAGGAACGATTAGCACCAAGACGGACTATCCGAATCCTATTATGATTACGTATCTGGTTGTAAATACTGCGACTGTGACTTGTCTGAAGGTCTGTGGCCTAGGACGATAGATGGGAACCTGCGGGGCCTACTACGCCTTAATTATGGACTGAGCCCCCCAATGTTTGGTCCAAGAAATTCTGGAGTGTCCGTTTTCTTTCGCTCAGGGCTTCCAAGATTTATGGTGCTCCCTGGCACCGGCAGAAACTGCATGCTGCGTGTGTCGGAAGCCATGCGGTGTTCTTCTGCCAAAACACCACTACTGCGAGCGTTCAACAACACACGAGCTGGTAGGCATGCGGCCATAGGGTGGAGACACGGGCGCTGCATAGTAGGCCGGCGCATCCACGGTGGTGTTGAGACCTCAGTGGATACAGGTACAAGAGGGTACAAGGAACAGGTCGGCAACTGCAAGAGCATGTGAGTTAAATCGAGAAAGGGAGCTGCCTGAAGAAGGCGCAGATCGTTGGCAGAATCGAAGGGCCATGGAGTAGGCACAGCCACGTTGTGCCCCATACAAGCTGTAGAAACTCAGCAGCTGGCCCAAGCGAGTCAAGTCGGTCATCACGACTGGCTCGTCACCCTCCTGCACTTTCGGTCCGATTTGCCGAGGGCACAGGGCTGTCTGAGGAACGAGCTAGGACCCTTTCCCAGACTCAGCAAACCTTCATGTCCTCCAAGCAGCAACCAATGAGATATCTTATTCAAGGATTGGGCTCTTTCCACACGGTCACAAAGGGACGAGTCGTTGCCCCACGTTGCGCTCTTTGCTTTGCTTTGCTAGGGGCTAGGAGCGGGAGATAGCGGGAACAGTCCTCATGTTGCTCTCTCTCTCTCTCTCTCTCTCTTCGACTTCGACTTCGACTGCAGGGGACAAGTCCAGCGAGCTGGACCCGGGCCACGAGGCCCCCCCTTCTCTTCCACGACTTGCCTGGTAGGGACCCACCCTAGCCCTTAACTTTAGCCCGCATCCCGGCCTCGCCCCCGCGCCCTCTACGGCAGAGTCCTTAGCCCCTCACCAGGCAATTTCCCCCCACTGGTTCAAGCATTCGGTGGCCGCCCCTATGCAAAACAACAGCGACACGCTAAGGCCGGTACGACAGTACTAGCAAACACGACTGCAGGCTGACCCCCCCCCCTTCGTTCGGTTGTGTCCCCGGGTTTCCCGCCCCATCTGTAGAATCAACAGCGGAGAACAAGCAAACGTGCTGGTAACAAATACGGCGGGTCCCCCCTGGCAATAGAAAGAAAAAGGCCGGTTGAATTATTTCTTCTAGTATGGGCAAAGACGGCGAAAGCGTTGAATTACTGTGGCGGTTGGTAACAGAAGTCGCGTAGTGGCGACTGGTGCAATTGAATTGGGCTTTCGGTCGCTACTTCGAGCTGTTGTAGAAAAGGAAAACCACACGGCGGCTACTTCGAGCTACCTGCAAACGGTATGCATCCCCCGGCATGGGTTCATAGGAGAAACTCGGGAGCAAGGGGAGGCGAAAGGCAGCAGCAACACACAAGAAGGGAATGCCTTCCCCCAGCTCCCGTCCCCCGCACACTGCACTGTTTACAAGTCGCGCTCACGGCTCTCACGTTGGTGGTGCATATGTTCTTGTACTTGCTGCACTTGCCACCATATACTCGGCTGCAGTCGTACTCGCTCTGGGCTTCTGCTCGGGCTGTGTGGGCGTTCTTCCCCCAGCCGGTTCCTCCTTGGCCTTGTGCATGGTCGTCTCCCCCGCGGGCTGCGGCTGGGGGTGCGTGGGCGCTCTTCCCCCAACCGTCTTCTTATTGGGCTTCGGCTAGGAGTGCGCGGCCTCTCTTCTCCCAAGCTGCGTCCCCCTTCTCGCGAGTCATCTTTGGTGGCTGTTCCAGTGCTTCCCATTGCTGGCTCACTCTGGCCTTGGGCTGTCGCTGTCTCACGGTTGCTTCCGTCTTCGGTCGTCACTTTTTCATCTTGCTCTCCCCTGCTTCGGTTGTGCGGTTCCGTGTCGGAAGTTGCGGAGTCTGTGCTCCCCCAGTCGACTTCATCTTCTTCGCCCCCTTCTCGCAAGTCGGCTGCAGCATCTCCCCCACGGCTTGATGTTGGTGGCGTCCTTGTTCTTGGTGGCTTCGAGGTTGTCGCCCCCACTGCCTTGCGCCGCATCCGGAGCTTCTTCCGGATTTGGCGTGCCTTTTTCAGTAGTGAACCGGCTCTTTGTGGAAAGCGGATCACATGCGCCCGTGTTTCATTGGCGAGCTTCGGCATATACTTGTCCATAATCCTGGTAAGCTTGTCCACCGTGTTGGCTATTTTGCACCTTTCCGCAAACCGTTCGCGGTACTTGGCATACTCCCCCGCCTCCAGGGTAGTCAAGGGCTCGTCTGTCACACGGTCCATCCATGTGTCACCCTCTTTATAGATCTCGCGCTTCCCCCACTTGTCGAGTGGCCCAGGTAGAAAGTGTAGGCCTATCCCCCTCTTTGTGGTAAACCTGGTCATATGTGTGAAAGGGACCTGCGTGCTTCTCGCTTCCCCCGCCTCTCGCAACGGCGGGTTGCTGCCCTGGGTCACCGGACGGCTTCCCGTCCCCTTCTCACTGCAACCATGGAAACGGCATGCTGGATCTCCCCTCTCATGTACCTTGCGAAAACCCTGCTGGCATACTCCTGCACCCTGTCGACATATGCGGCATTGCTTCTTCCCTTTCAGCTTTTTCCCCCACTTGGGTCCATCTGTACCACTCCACCACGGTGGTTATTGTTCTCAGTCTCCCCGAAAGTCACGGACTTGTACGTGTGGTACTCCCCCTCCCAGCGCAGTCGTTCGGTGAGCGAAGCTTGGCTGAGAAAGTCAGGGTGCTGGTGGTGAAGAAGACCGCGTCCCCCTCGAGTAGCAGGTTGAGCTGGAAGGCCTTGCTGTCCCTCGGTCGCCGGACTGCAAGTAGTGTTCGACCGTGCCGTTCAGCTTTATAGCTCGCCCCCTGCAGGAAGGCTACACGGGGCCACTTAAGGGCAATGGCGGCGGACGATTGGTCTCAAGCACCGCTGGGACAACGGTAGGGCTCTCTCGGCCCCTCGGCCGCATGGGCCCCCCATATGTTATGGGGCTTTGTGGAGGGACGTGACAAGACAGTGAGCCCCCCTGACAGGTAAACTGAGTATATTGGACTCTAGAGGGTCAGGGTTTCTCAACTGTTTTGTTGAACACATGCATGAATTGCAGTAACTGGTCCCCCTGTTTTTATTGGACAACAGTAAGTAAAGCAATGGCAACAAGTTAGTTTACAAACACGTGTTCCTCAGGGGTGTTGTGACCGCTCCACGGTCGCAAGGTGCATCGAAGGCGTCATAGGTGTCACATGTTCCCTCGAGTTAGCGTAACATGTACCTTCGCGATAACATAATATTCAACTTGCACAAAGGTATCGGCTGTGACCCCGTTGCGTGCCGACATGGCTTGAAACTGAAGGATGGATTGCGTGGTTCCCCGTTGTTGCAAAACAATGGCTGAAAACAAACCAGTCGTGCAACAACACAAACCTGAACATTGAGAACTCACGCCAAGGCTGCTACTACTAGGTAGCATACTGGGTCACTATGATGTCCCCCGAAGTCACGTCAAGCAGTCTATACAACACACGTAAGTAACAACCTATTCCTGCGCTTCAGACTTCGTTGGACGGTTCTTATTGATCTAACTGTCCCCCTACGTTTGCCACCGTCACTGTAACGAGACACCAAAAGCAAGGTACAGTGTATTAGATGTCGCGTCTGAGTCAATGGTGGCAGTCTTTGTGAGGGCACTAGGAACGTTACATCTACGGATGAACTGCATCAAGGGGAAAAAAAGCTTCCTAAGGCTGCAGTCAGTTATCGTGAACACCTCTCTCTCTCTCTCTGTGTCACTGTCGTCCGTTGATTGCCACCTGAGGTCTCATGCATACATTGCGAAAAGCCATGGAGTTACATTCTGGTCGTGCCTCGTTTGGTGGGGCCTTATCGCGGCACGTGACACTGCTCGGAATGTTCTCCCATGGCAAACCTTGATCCAACCACAAAAGCGCTGGCATGCTACAAGAAGTACATATACCCAGTTCACGAAACCAGGCGCACTCATCAACAAAATCAAAGTCATGAAGCGTCCCTGCCTTTGGTGGCACATCGGGCACGGCCTGCCATTATGACAAAAGTCCAAGCGCATAAACACTTTGCATGGAAGTGTTTACCAGCATCTCGGCTGTCGTCACACACACACACACACACACACATTTGTCCAATCCCCGGCCTTGGGGCAATCCTTCGGATCGATGCAAGGCTTGGCTGCTTCCAGTTGCTGCTCGTCGCACTGGGAGAAGCCTGGAAGTGGGGGAGGCTTCTGAGTGCTGCAGCTACTGGGATGCTGCTTGGTTGGCGAGCTCGACTTTGAGGTGGGCCGTCTACCGTAGCGGGACATGTGCATATAACGGTGCATGATTTCGACGATCGCCAGATAAAATCCCATCACATACGGTTGTTCTAGCTCTTATCGCACCTTCGGCAACGAGTTCTGAGATTGCCACAGGCTGAATATGGACACCAGCACCGTTGAAAATAACATACTGACCACTCCACTTGCTTCAGAAAACGGTTCTATACTGTGAGTGAAAACTGTGTCATCGCATCCAAGCGGCTCGATTCGACAAGGCTGCCTCAGTTGCTTTGGAGTTAGAACGCGCATGAAGTAATTTTGAAGATCACAGCCGGGAACAACCTGCAGCTGGGCTTTGATTAAGAAGGCATGACGAAGTAAAATGAGTCGTCATAGCCTTCGCAAGTCTCAACGGTCAACTTCAAGTCTTGAACTGACTCCTATATACGTATGCCTTCGCCTGAGATCTTAAACGCTTTGAACCTCCGCCTCGTATCTGCGCTATCTTTTGAGGTGGCACTATTGCCGCATTGTGCACCCGGAACCGGAACCGCTTGTTCTTCCTCACGGGCCGTTTTCATCCCGGACAGGTTGCCAGGCTCGGGACCAAAAGTTCCCGGCGCAGAGCGGCCGACCACGCCGAAGCCGTCGACCTGGGGATTCTGATGAGGGGTTAGGGCTCTGCATGGCTCTGCCATGGCCGTACAAGTGACTTCCGGTGCTGACTCGGACTCGTTTGGTGTTCCCGAGCCACCCTTATCTTATGGTATGGTCCCATGAAGGGTGGGGGGCGGTAGAATCCTTGCACATGAGGCCGCTTGGAGCCAGAATTGTCGTGACGCTTCGCTTGCTTTGAGGATCATGGCCTTGCAAGATTCTGTAGAAAATGGAAACAGTCACAGGGATCTAGAATAGGGTGTTGGGGGTATATATTCTGTACATGTCTTGCTTCGCAAGTAGGCGGAGTTCCGTGCAGTCTTTGCCCGCGTGCACAGAACGGGTGCAACAGTCGCCATTGTTCTAAAATGCCCAGCTTTAACGGCGCTTCGACGTTCTCTAAACGGATGTGGCCCTAAAAAATTGCTACATTCACCTTTTAAGGGTACCTTGGTTAGTCTAATATAGGGGCCTGAATAAATAGAAGAGGGTTTTGGGGCCCATGACACAATAATTAGAATAAGGAACCCCCAAAATAGTATAGGTAACCATTCAGGCCCCTAGAGTAGGTATGGGGGAGCAATCAAACAGCGGGCTTTGATATGACCCGGCGCACCTTGCACGGCCCGCAGATGCTTTTCCGGCTGCCATCCTTCTCGAACACGTGCATTCAGCTTGTTTCTGTTTCTGTCCCCTTTGTGAAGGTGCTCTTCGGGGAGTGCAAGGGTAGACTTAGGCTGCAACACTATGCCGCCCACCATGTAGTCATAGTGGAATTATATACGGGGTTTTGGAGCTCGGGAAGAATCAGAGTACTACCGACTACAACCTCGCAAAGACTCAGTACCGCAAGGCAGCCAGCGAAAATATTGAAGAGCCGACCATGACGGGTGGGGGGGGGAGGCAACTGCGACTGCAAGGCTCAGAGCCACAGGATGCTTGAAAGCCCTGCGACCCTCTGCCTTCCGTGTGTAGGCAGTCCACATGCCTCGGGGCCAAGTGGCAATTTCTCGCCATGATGCAGGGAGTGTACGACAGGTAAGTTTGTCGCCGAAGACAGCGGCACAACAATCATGACTGACGAAACATCCAGTTTTATTCAAGCAAGTGGCAGGAAATGCCCGCACTGGTTCCCTTCGCGAAGCAGTCGTCCTTTTGTCTTGGGCCACAGATGCTGTTACATTCCTTGAGATTCTGTTTATTATGAGCGTACAATAAAAATGACATAGCCCAAAGCCCATTCTAGCCGATTACCAATGATTTCTATCGGTTTTTTAGGTGTTGAAGACAATGAATTGTTTGTCAAGATGCTTGGCAACCGTGGGCCCTTACTTACCTGCACGTCGAAGCCCAACAGTGGTCTGGCGTGATCGTCCATAGCAGCTTTGTAGGTTAGGTTATTTTGGGATGGTATATGACAATCAGGTGCTTGGACCCGCAGGGACAGTCCTTGATGATGTCACCGCTGACATCGGTGCAGTCCGACACCTTAGAGACCAGCTGCTGGTGCTCGCAGCCTGGGCGCACGCCGCAAGAATACGCTGACAATTCAAAGCGGCGATCTGTCGTTCTTATCAGAAACACTTGGGGAATGACATAGGTAAGTATATAATGTTGAGACCCTTCTTTAAGCAGCCGCTTAAAAGAACAAGCGTCAGGCTGGAGCCCTCTCTTGCCCACTTGCCCAGCGAAGCCTTCACGATGTGGGCCACGAAACCCTTCGTTCTTTAAACCTGCACTGCACCGAAACCTAAAATCGGCACCCTAAACACAGTTCCACCATGCTGGTTTTCACTGGCCCTTCAAGCAGCTCATCTCGCAGGACTCCACTCGCCCCTGGGGGAAGGCCGCATTCCTTGCAGCGCATCCAGGAGAAAAAGAGAGTAAGTCTATGCATGTCTATGTGAGTACACATCACGCGTGCACGTATGCATGTGTGCATGTACAGATCGATAGATAGATATATATATATAGACACACATCTCTGTGTGTATATGTATGCGCAAGAATATGTATTAATGTATATGCACGAATGTGTAAATGTGTACATACAAACACTTATCATATATACATACATACATGCACCCATACAAATATACAGGCAAACGAGTGGAAAACACGTGCATACACAGTGTGCGTATGTATGCATGTCAGCAGGCATTGCATGCATGCATTGCGCGCATGCATTGCGCGCATGCATGTCTGTATGTCTGCATGCCTGTATGCCTGCATGTCTACATGTGATGTATGTAATGCATGCATGCACGCATGTACCTATCTATGCATATGTATATGTATTCATATGCACGTGTAACTTTACATGGTTGTGTTTATGTGAACAAGTGCATAAAAACAGGTACATATATAGACATATGTATATGTACACAACTAAATGGTTAAATCACCACAGGCACGTACATAATGTACATACGTACATATGAGTTTTTGTGCGCATGCGTATGTGCACACGCACGTGTATGTGTGTCCGTAAACATATATAGGGTAATTAACCATTTAAGCGTGTGTACGCATATAACTTATTATATATATATATATATATATGCTTCTGTATATATATATACACATCTTTACATACATATACATATACACATGTGTGTGCGCGTACGCGTCTACCATGTCATGCTGCATTCTCTTGGAGTGCGCACGCACGTGCACACACACACACACAGAAGTAGAGCGACAGTTAGGCCAACAAGTAAACCAGAAAACAATCGGACCAACCAAACAAGCAACAACAAACAATTGACTTTGACGCTCTGCAGCTGTCTGTTGTGAATGCACCCCAGCATTGCGGGACCCGGCACGCAACGTGAGACAGTGACACTGCGAATTAAAGCCGTTGATGGCAAAACAAGGTCTGATTTAGTTCAGAGCTGATGGCAAGGCAGAAGAACACATGGATATTACAAAAGTCTCCCATCCGAGGTGCTGCGGAACACAGGGAATGGGTGCACCGCCCCACTCGCAGGGCAGGCAAAGGTTTCGCTTGTCCAGCTCGAGGAACATGCCTTGGTTCTGCAGGTGGCAAGGGACCCAAATTTCCGAGGTCCAGCCTGTTGTCATGGATTAGATTGACATGCAATACATCATGAACACAGACTTAAATACCGGGCTAGAGTAACGGAGCTCGGGTTCGCGCCGATCCGGGGCTTTCGGGGCTTCACGGGTAGTAGGACAATGTACGTAGTTTACAGTGTATGTACTATAGCAGAGTAGACGATACTATATTGTACTGTGTACACTCAATAGCGTACTACAGTGTATTATATTATGATAGCTATAGAGGCAACTGCATCCTTCAACTGGGGTCCATTGCGACACGCAACTTGGGTGGGACATAGACTTCATTTCGGAAGGCTCCACAAACTTATGCGCCTGCGGCACCATAACCAGGATCCACCATCAAGTGTCCAAGAAGTGGCATCAAGCCCCTGCCCGCGACCAAGAACTCCCTTCAGGATGCATTTGGAGCTCTTCCCAAGGCATGTGGCCCGCGAGACCTTGCAGAAGGTGGCAGTGCTAGCATGGCTTTCGGGCTTTTGCTCCGTAGGCATAAGCGCCGAAGACTCGCAAATAAAGCGAACAAGTTTATGATGACGGTAGCATTGATCTATACTTGCAGCCGATTGCTGGAAAGTTCATCGTCGACAGTCTGCATACTGTAGCACCCATCCTCAAAGTCAACCCAAGAAGCAGTGGCTTTGTCGGAGCACCTGAGTTGTGGCTGGAAGCTTGGCAAAGCTCTGGCTGGCTTTTGAATCTGATCGTTCAGCAACGGAAGGAAGTGGCAACGACGCAGCGATGGCAAATCGGCATCATCCCGTCTCACAAAGACAATTCAACATTCCTTCGGCACCCATTGTTACACCCCGGACGCATTCAGCTAAAGCTGAGAGCGCTCAGAGTCTGCAGCGGCAGCGGCAGCTACGCGGAGCAGCTCGACGCTGGAGGCCTTCACCGATGCGACATGGAGGTCGAGACTTCAGAGGCTTCAAGGCCTTCCACTTTGGGTGTCATCATCACAACCATCTTGATCCTCATCCTGATCATCGTTCTTGCGATCCTCCACTCTGATCGCTTCTGCCTCAGCGTCATGGTCGTCGTCCCCACAATGCTTACGAGTACCTAATCTTATCAACATACGTACTGGAAGCGGACAGTTCCGAGTCGGCCCGAGTGATCCTAGGTCCTAGAAGCAAGCAGATGCTCATCGCCGTAAGTATTGGTTTAGGGGAATATCCTTGCTTCGCCAGAGGGTTCTAGAATTAGGAGCAGTATCGAATCAGTGCCAGTTGCTTACGGAGTCACACAGTCATGAAACAATGACAACCACCAGCGAGGCTAATACTTTGACGAGCAGATGAGTGGTGTAAACCGTTTCGAACACGGTTGCAGTCATACAAGTAAGTAACAGTATTCGGACTCCTGCATTGATGACTGTTGTCGTGGTGCAATTTTGGGTCGAATCTGGACTGACCCCCATTTGGGAAGGGTTTTTGTTGACACTCACTCTCGGACAAAGCCTGGCAAGGTCTGCAGAAATAGGTTGGGAAGGGTTTAAGGTTTAGGCTTTGTTAGGGTTTAGCAGTTTAGGATGCGTTAGGGTTTAGGGTTTGTTAGGATTTAGGGTTCAGGGTTTAACGGCTATTTTTTCCCTCCTGGGTTTAGGGTTTAGGGTTTCAGGCGCTGGCTTTATTTATGCTTTGCTTATTGGTACTATTTCTGTACTACTACTGTAGTACTACTGTACTAGTGTACTACCGTACTACTATTGTACTACTGCTGTGCTACTACTGTATTACTGCGGTACTACTACTACTGTACTACTACAATTCTACTACTGTACTACTATTGTACTACTGTACTATTCTTGTACTACTACACTACTACTGTACTACCACTGTACTACTGTACTACTATTGTACTACTACTGTGCTACTGTTGTAGTACTATTGTACTACTGCACTATTATTGTACTACTACTGTACTACTATTGTATTGCTGGACTATTCTCGTAGTACTACTGTACTATCATTGTACTACTACTGTACTACTGCTGTACTACTACTGTACTACTACTGTTGTATTACTATTGTACTACTGCACTAGTATTGTACTACTACTGTACTACTACTTTACTACTACTGTACTACTACTGTATTATTTCTACTGTACTACTGTTGTACTACTATTGTACTACTATTGTACAACTGTACCATTATTGTACCGCACCAAGCTTCAGACGTGGTCGATTGTGGGTGGGAGTGCGGGAGTGTAGGTTGGAAGCAAGAGTGTTCAAAATGAAGGGTTTTTAGTCTTGGTAGTTATCTTGGAGTGATCGGGGCTTGGTTTCCAGCATTTGCTGATCCCCAGACCCCGCTGACCGCGCATTCGCGCAGAACCGCAGACCCTGCACCCAAGCCAGCCCCCAAACCCCGGCACCTCCCAATACCCGACCACTCAGATCCCTGACCCCTGTCCGGGGTTACCGGTTCCAGATTAATCACGCCAAAACTTTTTAGTTGGGTGGGGGGGGGTAGCGTCTACGATTTAGGCCGCCACATTAATCGGCTAAGCCCTTGCAGCTGCAACCATGAAGCTCGACCGCAGACCTGCTCAAGCGCCCCCCCACCCCCTCCAAGAAAGCTCCCTGCCACAGTGGCCTCTCCCTGTACCGCGGCTACCAGAAGCGCTGACAGGAGCGCCTCTACCGTGGGGCAGCCAAGGAGGCCAGGGGATTCTCATGCACAAACATGTCACACCAGCCGTTCTAGGCACACGCCAAGAAACGAGGTAGTGCCCACAAGATACTGCAGTTACTACAGCCTACGGTACTAGCACTTAATACGGATCTCTTTGGGGCACGGGAGGTGATCACAATGACCGAGACATGATAAAAGCGCCTCTGGGCCGTACTCCAGCATAAATTCATTAACTACAATTTTGTTGCTGGATGTTTTCCAATTGCTTCTGAACCTGGCTAGCACTAGTTGGTTCTAGGATTTTGGAATCGAAGACCTACCAATGTGGCACTCGAGTGGAATGCAACAGTTTAGGAACCAACAGGGTTCAGTGCAAAGGGAGCGTTGGTTCCCGGTCCGGATGAAGCTGTGCTTCGAAGAATGCCCCGTCTCCGCTCTGTGCGGGGAACGAGGGGTTTGAAGTCATAGGAAAACATGGCACAAGGCATTTCCGGCCTGGAACGCCATCGGATGCTTCATTGCTATCAGCCCCGCTTGGGCCAACAAGCTCCAGCAAAGAAGCTCGCATGTGGTTCTCGACTCAGAGACCACATTCTTCGCGTTGTCGAAAGCTGCGCTGCCGCAGATCATGCACACTAAATTCCGCACTCAGTTACACATCATGCCCAGCTCCGACAATTCCGTCATGACTGAAGTTGCTCGGTGCTGCGGCGTACCCTCCGCTCACGCCTACTGAGAAACATATTGTTGTGGCTATCGCGAATTGTTGCTATTATTTCATACTTCTAAACTTCTCAAAATAGCCCGTTCGGACCTTCCAGATAGCCAGCTGCTTCAACCTCAGTGCAGGACTTTTGCCGTCGGCAGGACAAAGAACACCCAAGGTGCTGGTTCTTAAAGGTTCTGTATCTAAATTGGAACTGTATTATAGCGACCCTCCCTCACCCCTAAACCCTAAACCCTATAAACAGGATTAAGGCTTCCCCTAAGTAGACTGGCTTTGCGAGCCACAAGCACCCGAGATCCTGAGAGCATAGCCTTTTGATCAGCTCTGCCTTCTTGACAGCAATGTCTGTGCCTGGTCTCCGAACTTCTAGTATAGGGGCCTTAATTAATAATTGCCTGTACTACTTTGGGGGGTTCCTTAGTCTGATTATAGTACAGTGGGCCTATAGTAAATAAATCCGGGTCTAGTTGTGCAAGTACCCCTGAGCCCACGGTGAGGTTCGATACATCTAGTCAATGCCCCAGCCTGGCCTCCAAGATATCAAAGAAGCGAAGAGTCGGCAACTAGATCCCAGAAGATCGAATTTGGCCAAACCAAGGAAAGCAAGGGCTTCCCAACTGCGCCCAGACTCCCGACCTTGGGGTTCGTTGCAGGTGCAGGATTTTCGCCACCTCAGTCCAGGCAAGGCAGCACAGGGCGCTTCTCCATCCAGAATGTCAAACGCCAGTCGGCTTCAAGCTTTACAATGCTTGCGATGTGCTCAGCATGCTATCGCGCACCCCTTGAGCGAGGTGGAAGGCCTGGATGAAGATTGAAGGCTTCCTCTTCTGAAGACAAAACAGACAACCAGGGGCAGGATGGGGCAGTGGCCTGCAACTGCAAGCTGCTAGAAGCAACCCACCTCACATTACATCAAAAAGTGGCATCGCAACGGCATCCCCTTAAACGATACGACCAAAATCGAACCGGCGCACCAAAAAGACGTTCAACAAGCCTCAACCCTGAACTCTACATCCCAAACTTGTATCACTCGCACTGGGTGTCCGGCTCCTCTTGCAGCTCTGGCAGGGAGAGCTCCTGCAAGCGATCCTTCAGCTCCGAGGGCTGTGGACACAACAAAGACACGAACAAAGATACCTGAATCTTTGCCGACAGCGCTTCTTTTGGCACCTTGATTTAAAGGTTTGGACACCAATCTTCGGTGTGTGATCAGAGTCAAGAAGAAAAGGAGGACTTTCACCACCACTACGACCAAAACCACCACCACCACCACAACAACAACAACAGCAACAGCAACAAACAAAGCAACACCAAAAGCAAGAACAGAAGCAACAGCACAAGCACCAGCAGCAACAACAACAAAAATGACACCAACAGCAACAGCAACAGCAATAACGGCAACACCACCACCACCACCACCACCACTACCACCACCACTACCACCACCACCACCACCACCACCACCACCACCACCACCACCACCACCACCACCACCACCACCACCACCACCACCACCACCACCACCACCGCCAGCACCGCCAGCACCACCACCACACCACCAACAACAACAGCACCAATGCAAAGGCAACAACACCACCACCACCACAACAACAAACCTTCAAAACACAACCAACATCAACACCAACAGCAACAACAAACCTTCAAAACACAACCAACATCAACACCAACAGCAACAACAAGAACAATAAAACAAACAACTATAACAATAACAATAACAACAACAGCAACAGCAACAACCACAACAACAACAACGACAACAACAACACCAACAGTAACAATAGGAAGCAAACAACAACAATAACAACAATGACAGTGAGAAGGGCAAGAACAGCAACAGGAACAACAACTGGTGCTGCTGCTACTGCTTCTACTGCTGCTACTACTACTGCTACTGCCACTGCTCCTGCCACGATTGCTCCTGCGTGCTGCTACTATTACTACTAATTACTAGTGCTCCTACTACTAGGACTACTACCTACTACTCCTGCTGCTGATGTTGCCACTGCTACTGCTACTTTGTCGGCCCTTAAAGCCGTCTATCGTAATCACAATAGCTCGACGACCGAACATGGACAATACCACCATCACAACCACTTTCGGCATAAAACCATGCAACGATCACGTGAGGTGTGCGTCGTTGTGGGGCCCCGACGCATTCGGCCAGCAGCGGGGCTGCTGCAAAAGTTCCGAGGCGGTCGAAAGGGAGCCCAGCCCTGGGCGACTCTCGCGGAACAAAACGTGTAACGCGGTGCTTTCGGGAAGACTTCAGCGACCGAACTCAGCTCAGTCAAGCCCGGGCATCTGGAAATCAGGCCACCATCACCTCCTGCAACACCAGCAGCAAACAGCAAACGAAGTAATCAACTCCGTCGCCATCATCATCCCTTGCGGCAACAAATCACATGCGAGCACTCGACCGTCCAATCAAATTTTCTGTTGTCCCTGTGGCTGGGATGTCTTCAGCTGCGATCATACAGACATCGTCTTCGTTTCGGCTTGTTGCAAGCCTCGACTCTCACAGACACATCTTACGGTTACATGACTTCCTTGGCACGGCAGAGAACTGCGAGCAGCAGCTCAACGCCCTGTGGCCAGCTCGAGCTATGGTAGGCAAACGGAGCCTCTTTCCGAAGGCCGGGCTGAGGTGATACTCAGTGTCTGAGTCTTGGGCTCAGGCTTTCAGCGCCGTAGACTTCTACAAGGTTACAGCATATTCCAGCTACCATCTGATGCGAAATCAGCTGTCCAAATACTTCTGATGTGTTGACCGCGCACCTCACAGTCCGGCAGCCGGAATTAAAAAAATATCACTACACAAGACCTCTACACGAGGTGCCTCAGCTTACGAGCTTCCAGAAATTTCCAGAACAAGAAAGCATACCAGGAAACCACAACCTTGTCAATTGTCAAACCGGGCGACATCAGGGGCCACATGCAAAGAAGCACACTTGAAGTGCACTAAGCCACAAGCCGATAGTGTAGTCTCTTACCATATTGTACCAGCAGTTGATCGGTCTGGAGAACACTCCTTGGTGGTCCTCGACCAGTAGCGTGACAGGCTCAAGCCAGCTCACCCTCGAGTAACGCCAGCTTGCTGCAGGGCCGTGTTCCACAGCCTGGATGAAGCAGCGTTCTGCGTTCAGCTAGGGCTGCACCGCAGCTACAGCTGCAAACCGGGAGTTCTGCTAGCAACCCTGCATTATGCGGCGGCTTCGTCTCGAAAACTCCATCAGGAAAAGGACAAACTCGCTTCCTAATCCCTCCCTTCCCTGTTGATATCGAGGGGCTGCTCGGTCAAGCCGGGCTGTGTGAAAGCCATACATCGGACGTAGTTCTCCTCGGCTGCTTCTGCTTGTAGCTCGCTGACTTCCGAGCCGGATCTTCATGGGAGATGAGGGGTTAGGGGAACAGGGGGCGCCTGTGCTCAAGCTTCTTCTCTGCTGCATCATACACTTCAGTGGATTTGTTCGCGGTTCCGGAATGGGAATGGAATGCATCATACACCTAGTGAATATGACAGAGCCGCTGCTCGAAACGGCAATGTTCAAGATGACACCCCATCCTCCACGAAGAGATCGTGCCGAGGTATCATGCCCATTGGATTGTGCACAGGATTCGTTTTGCTTGGCCGTCTCAAACACAGAACGACGGACTGGACCAGTATGAAAGCGATTGAGTTTATCAGGACGTGGTGATTCCCTGGCAAGACGACTTCGCTGCGATGTAACTGAGAAGGCTTTAGGCTTTAGTACTGGATTCTTAGATTGATGCGAACCACCCCTTCACGCTCATGTTGAGGAAAGGGTTTTGTTACTGGCCTGCTTATGCAGCTCTTTCCTGCATGCTCTTGCTTCGAAGTTTCGTGAGGTGCGCAACAGCACCTAAGCAGCTAGAGTACACACACACAACACTGATGGGATCTGCATGTGCAAATGTCGAAGGCTCCCAGACTAGACAGCGAGACTCCGACAAAAATCAGATACTCAGGTCTGAGTGCGTGCTTGGCTCCGGCTTTTTGGCCGATCGAAATGGCAGAATTTCTGGTTCCATCCGGCCTGTTCACGCCCCGAGCTTCGGAGGGTACGGCCGGGTTACGGCCAGCTAACAGCTGAGTTTGAGATCTAAATCGGCAGTCGCCGAAGAGAACCGGAGACATGTGATAATCGCCTTGCTCTGACAAGGACATCCAAGAGATTCAATGTGGGAGCGACAGAAAAGTAAGGGATCCTGACGATTGCCAATCTTTAAAGACATGACGCTCGATGTATGTAAGGGCCCGCGCATGAGCCAATTTTACGAAACCCTCCTGTGGCTTCTGGTATCCAGCCTGATTCTTGTGCGTGGAGGCGGACGACGGCACCCTTGTTGTCCCCAAAATCGCAATAGCGCGGCGCGGAGAACACCTCAAGAATTCAGGTTTATAAGGCCTTGTGAGACTGATTGATAGAAGTCGGGGGAACTCTCTTTGCTGTTGTTCTTGAAAAGTCTCTTTACTCTCCTGTGAATCCATGGTAGCTGGCGGGGACTTCGGCCGGCTTCCGATAGTATTCCGATCTTCACAATGCCTGCTCGCATCTGCAAGGTAAGGCACTGTTAGGCAGCGCTGGCCGTGTTGCCACTCGTAGCCCTGCTCCTGCATGGCATCGGCCCTCGCTCTGGGACCCAATCAGTGGTAACCGGTGTCATATGTGACTCAACATGGACAGGTGAGACTCCTGGCTAGGCTAACAGCAGAGTGTCCCCTGTTGCCCCTGTTCTACTTCACAGAGTAGCCCTTCAGTCCAGGTGAGTCTTTGAAAATTTAAATATGAGTGTCAATAAGAGCATGTTTTAAATTAGCATCACAGCAGCGGAAGAACCATAGCGATTTCGTCACGAACAGCTCCGTCAGAGCTTGCCCGAGTACAAAGAGACGCTCGAAGGTTCTGCTGGCACGGCGACGCGAACTGGAGACGTTCTCGATCCCCCGAAAACGTGCTTCCGCGACCTCGGCCATCATATGCGATGGAGGTCAAACCTACAACACATAGAAGCCATGGCGCCAGAATATGACGGACTACAGAGGATCGGCTTTAGTCCCAAGTCCTAAGTCTTTGGGACGGATGCCCCAAGTGCAGGTCTCCTTGACCTCGTGCGATCGAATCATGAAGCTCAAGCTGTTCCTGGCCAGGAAATACAGTGTCAGGTGTTCTGTAAGGCGTCACTGTTTTGTGGCCCCTCTCCCACAACTTGAACAAGAAGAAGCCCAGCACAACTGCAGCACACTAAACTACAAGGTGTGAACCTGGAGTAAGAACGAAGGCCGATGAAGGATGCAATGAGGCATCTTCGGTGTCCTTTCCAGAAAGCGCTGCGTCACGTCTTCCCCGAAGACGATAGTGGTCGGACCTGGATGGGCTTTCAACCGGATCTCCGAACATTCACAGGGCCTGAGACTCTATGAGAGGATCAACATGAGAGCGTATGATCTATGGGGAACTGCGTCTCCACAATCCACAAGCAGAGGACAGCTGGCTTTTCAAGACGGGCCAACGAAAACCCTGCTGGTACCTTTTCTGTGTTGGGGTCGGTGCCAGCCACCAAGCGAGTAGTTATTATGAACCGCAATATTGAATCTGGATGGTGTCCCAATGTGAGCTCCCGGCCGCGGTCGCCAGTGCTGACTCCCTGCACAAGCTTCGGCACTGGTAATTACCGGTATTTTTGTGACCAAACAAATCGTCGGAAAATTGACAAGGATATAGAATGTGGATGCATCTCGAATCTCCTCGCCCCCAGCTCTCCGGCCATGTGACGAAAGCTAATGTTTCCACGACCAGCTAACCTCGTCTGTAGCTAGTAACATCCTGACAACCTGATGCCACAAAAACGGTGTGCTCGGCTCTTAACTTCACATATGCCCGGACCTCGGGACGTGGTGCTCCTGCACCACATCCGCCCCAGCACATGTTGTCAACCCTCAAGGTTTGACTCCGCCCAGGCGTGCCTGAATGTCACGGGGATCTGCCCACCTCGTGATAGGCGGGAATGGAGTTTGGCAGCATTGAGTGTGTGTGCGTCTTGCACTGTGTCTGCGGGGTTTGTGATCAAGTCAGGCGGTTTTCTCACTCCCACTCCGACATGTCGCGCAAAACTAGGTATCATCCATGAAGGCAGCATTGGCAACCCATGAAGCCTTATACCGCCACGACACTTATATCCCGATATCGTTCTGCATTGACCGAACGACCCATCTCTTTCCATGCGTGTGCCAGCTGTCCTCCCCTTTTTGATGGCCGCACTACCAAACCGTGAAGTGTAATTCAGTCCCATGGTTGGTTCGAGTCTATCTGGCAGAATTGCCACACATGGCGTCCAAGTTCCGGGTCATGGACCGCAAAGCGCAACTTAACTTGTAAACTACTCAGCATACTTTTAAGCCTACGCTTCGCACAAGAACTGCACAGGGTTTCTCCTGCGAAGAAGTCCCACAAGCGTCGCTTCCAACTCCAGCGAGTATCAGGAGTGTAGACTGGTACACCGAGCAGAACCTTGAACTCCCTTGCATGTTTCGTGTGCTGTGACATTTTCATCTCAGGCGGACCATCATGGCACAGTCCAAGTCCAAAGCTGTATCAGCATTAAGGCTAGGCCATGAGGTGAAGGGTAGCGCGAATGTCTCATCTGCTCGGGGCTCTTTAGCCCAAAACCTTCAATCCCGACCCTCGACCTTAAACCAGCCAGGCGACATGAGGTCGCTCATCAAGTTGTAGTCTTTGTGCATCTTTCGCTCTTCCAGGCTGCGGGTGATCTGACACAGAGACAAATCAGGCCGAACGCCAGCCCTCAGAATGAGATAAATGCACTAGTTGCCAGCAGAAGAAAGTAGGAATTAATGAATAGCAGTCGTCGGTAGTAGTGGTCGTCCTCGGAGTCGTAGGATAGTGGCGGCAGTAGTCGTAGTAGTACTGGTCGTCCTCGTAGTCGTAGAATAGTGGTGGTAGTCGTCGTAGTAGTAGTCGTAGTAGTAGTAGTAGTAGTAGTAGTAGTAGTAGTAGCAGCAGCAGCAGCAGTTGTAGCAGTAGTAGTAGTAGTAGTAGTAGTAGTAGTAGCAGCACCAGCAGCAGTTGTAGCAGTAGTAGTAGTAGTAGTAGTAGTAGTAGTAGTAGTAGTAGTAGTAGTAGTAGTAGTAGACTTAGTAGTAGTAGCAGTAGCAGTAGCAGTAGCAGTAGCAGTAGCAGTAGCAGGAGCAGTAGCAGTAGCAGTAGCAGTGGTGGTGGTAGTAGTCGTGGTGGTAGTAGTGGTTGTGGTAGTAGTAGTAGGGTGTTGTAGTCGTAGTGGTAGTGGTAGTGGTAGTGGTAGTGGTAGTGGTAGTGGTAGCGGTAGTAGTGGTGGTAGTAGTGGTGGTAGTAGTGGTGGTAGTAGTAGTAGTAGTAGTAGGTCGTGGTGGTGGCGGTAGCGTTGGCAAGGCGGTGGTAATGAAAACGCCATTGATGGCGGAAGCAGTGGCGCGAGCAGCATCAACAAAAGTTCTTCTCGATTTTATCAGCCAGAAACAACGTGGTTGAGAAGCCAGTCGTGGAAGGACGTTGAAGCGATGGCCTCCATCACGTCCAGGGCTTCGATATCTGCCAGTTTGGTGCCCTCCTCGAAAAGTCGCGCAAGAATTAGTGCGCGATGCATACATGAAACTTAGACGTGGCCGTGAACTGCTGGATTTGGATTTCGCTGGATCAATCTGCTACAGAACAGCTGCAGAAGTAACAGCCCGGACTGAGACTGATTGCAGGCAAAACCCCATGCATAAATTGGTGAGCGGACAGGAGCAGCCCTCAAGGAATTCGTGAGCCTGCCGATCCGCTAGTTCATGAAACCTGTGGCCAAAGTCAACCCTGAGCCATTCACTCCCCCTCCTATTTGAATATCGATGTCAGCTCCTTGTCAAGCGCGAGAGTAAAGTCGAGTTCTTAGGATTCTGGCGCCCCAGCTTCTGGCAATCCGGGGCCGATAACCAAGAAAACTATCCCTTAAACCCAGTGCCGGACTCGTCCTTCCGAGGCAGGCCGCCGTGTGTCACGAACACATCGTTGTTGACAACGTGTGACAAAGGGAGGTTCCTTGACAGTGCACTTTCATGCACTGTCAAGATTTCTTTGGACTTTTACGCAACGGTCAAACCCTCTTGACTTCACCTTGTTATAAGTACAGCAGAGGAGTTCTTGTTCTAGTTGTAACCCCCATTCGGCATTCCACCTACCTATGCAAATTGATCTCAACTTCACTACGCTGTCATCTATTGAAGCTGGCAGAAACAAGCCCCGCTTTGCTGCTGGTAGCATCCCTGTAGTCTGGCTTGTACGACATGTACTGATACCAGTAGTGGCCGGCGTGTACGGACGACCGAAGATCAAACTCAAGACGTGAATGGCAGCATGCTCCCGAAAAGCCTGAACTTGCAAGTATCCGGCACATCTGTATATGATCCGGGCACGGTTCGCCGAACCCCCCCGCACGCCAGGCCGAATCTGTGTCACTGCTCGCACTTTTTGCACAGGGCCCCAAAAGCGTCATCTGTCACGAGGATCGCGTCTCAAAGACGCCCGAGCCGCGTGACAGTACAAGCTTTTCCGGCACGACTGACTGTGAACACTTCCCAAAGACAGACGACTCTGACGTGATCTTAAACAAGGCAACTGTCACGAGGATCGCGTGCCCTGACAGGCCCGATCCCTGTGATAGCTGGCCCATTGCAACCTTATGGCAATGGCCCCAAAGCGACAACTGTCACGAAGATCGTGGGGCAGAAGACACCCGACGACCAACCAAAGAAACATGAAGATGCTTAAGTTAATGATTATGATGGTGATCATCGTCCCCATCATCATCATCATCACTATCATCAGAGGGGTGAGTATACTCAAACACCTAAAGCATACCCAAGCACGCAGGGGGGAACCACCGCAAGAAAACCCGAACAAACACCATGCAACAGGGCACAATTTCACGATCTTGAAACCTAAGCACTGCAACAAGGCCTGAGTTTCAAAATGTGAAGCCTGCTGCACCCGGGTTTGTACAACCTGAGGAAGACGCCGACAACCATGAAGTTGCAAGCCTCAAAACCCAGCAACACGAATCCTAAGCAAGACCCCCACGGCCAAGCTTCCAAACCATTAAAATCCGTTAATCTCCTTGAAGCCATAGGCCTCAAGCCTACTGCAGGAGTTCGCCAAAGGCACAGGAAGACCCGCTGAAAGGCAGCCCAAACAGCCAGCTGTGCCCTGTACCTTGGGGTCAAGGAACTCGCCCCAAACCCCCAAAACTAAACGCTAATCCCTAAACTAAACCGTATGGTTCGCTATCTTGTGTTCAAAGCAGTGGCGAACCATGCCGCTGACTCTCGGTAGGGCCCTCAAAGGCCGTGAATGAAGTGAAACGTAGGAATTAGGCGCATTAAAGTTATCTTCACAACGCAGAGGACGTGACAAGACTACTACACATTATTCCGAGTTCGATATTATGTCCCAAGATGCCCCTGATGGATTGGACTTCTACAGCGGTGCTGCACAGAGTAATTATGCGATCCAGGGTGCTGTCCTCATCTATTCCTGTCACCTGTGTGAAGGGCCGCATGGCCCAGAGTTCCAATTACAACTATGTTTCCGCAGCTTTGATAAGTACAAGGCGGGCAACTTGACCAAAACTTCGCCCGTGAACCCATAGTTGAAGTTCATGTCAGCGTCCTGGTCGACCGGGCTCGCTGGCCAAATCTGGAAAAGCAGGCGTATGCGAGGAATACAATCTGCAGACTGGATTTGTGTTTGGTTTATATCTTTGCTGCGATGTTCCACAGCCTGTCGCAAGGCATCTAAGCGAGGTCTCCTTAACTCATCTGCCAAACCTGCCGAACATGCAGCTGTAGTTTCCGAACCGAGAGCTTCCCGGAAGAAGTAGGCCAAGGGCTTCTAGTTCGGGGTGTCACTGTTACTGATTCCAGGTACCATGTTTCCGCTGCAGGGCCTCACCACAATCACCGAAGCTTCCCCTGCCCCGAACGGTTCAGCGTCCTCATGATTTCCACGTGCCAGGTGCATGTGTTCGGGATAAGCAAGCTTCCAAGCCAGCAGTAGCCTGCGACTCTCCGAGACTTGGTTATGGCTTTCATATAAGCCATCCCGGAAATTGTTTCGTCGGCGGAGCCCGAGAATGTTCAAGGTCCAAGCTAGCTGCCCGAGCATGTCGAGCTATAGTAGAACTGTAGGGTGCTTGGGAAGGAAGACGTAACGAGCACCGACACCAGTCTGGATGTAAAACCCTTAACAGGCGACAGTACAGTAGCTTGCGTACATGCATCCGCTGTCTTTCATAGGTTGATGTTTTAGCGACGCGACGCTACCCTTTCCCGCTTCGGCTATCAGTGCCAATACAGGTAGTTCTTGCATGTCCTTGCCCTTCTCGCTGCCTGCCTAGTGCCCAATGCATTCCAGCCTGCAAGCACCTATTGGTTGAGTACTGCCTGTAAAGACATGCTGCTGCATGTTTTCCTCATCTGCAGTCTGACTGGCACCACTCATTACCACGCATTGATGTAAATAAATACCGAAAGGATTCATTACCAGGTGGCACCATGATCTCGACAGAGTAAGACCTCAGAAGACTGAGCTTCAGCTGCGACAGCAGCGCAGAGACGACCCTGGTCATGCAGCCCTTTGTTGCCTGCAATCGCCTCTGGGGCCTTCTTGAACCATTCTCAGAAAGCTCTACAGGGTTCTATTATAGTATATTAAAACATAGTATATTATAGTACAGTATATGATAGTATAGTATATTATAGTACAGTATATGATAGAAACATAGTATATTATAGTACAGTATATGATAGAAACATAGTATATTATAGTACAGTATATGATAGAAACATAGTATATTATAGTACAGTATATGATAGTATAGTATATTATAGTAAGTCTCAGAGCCCCTGGGTTTCGGTGGATCTCTGAGAGCCAGGCCCGCGGTCAACGAAGTCTCCGTTGAAGAGGAAGGGGTTCTCTTCACCTCTCTGGGGTACTGTAGCGGTTTACGCTCTCGCAACTCGGACAATCCAGACGAGGTTCTTGGTCGGCAACTGAACTTCTACAGAAACCCCCTGATAGCAGTAGAAAACAGCGAAACAAAAGGTAAGGCCATGGACTGCATGCTACCAGGGGGAACGCAAGGCTTCACTCATTGGAGAAGCGGAGTCCCTCCTATATCCCTAACTCAAACAGCGTCAACACAAGGTCAGGCCATGTATGACGGGTTACAGGAGGAGCTCCTAAAAGGCAGACAAGATGTACAGCATGTCGAGATATGCAGTATATTGAACTCGCATGTATCAACATCGAGATGAAAAGTGTGAAACCACTGCAAAGGACTCCGAATTAGGCGATTTCCCTGTAGCGGTTTAGGGTTTAGGGTTTAGGGTTTCGGCGCTCACACTCGGACAAACCAGGCGAGGCATATGAGTTCGAGTCTGCAAAGTGAAACGACACTAAGAGGCTTCGTCACTACGTTTCAGCAACAAAGGCTATCAACACATAAAGTGACTGTGCCTGCCTGCGAAACCTCTCCTTGGAATCCAAGTTGAAGCAGCAAGGACTTTCGGACTCCAAGGTAGTAGATTCGGCAGATCGCTCAGGGTCAGGGATATAGGGTTTAGGCCCTACAATGTTTCAGGAATGATATTCAATAGTAATATGCTACAAGGGAGAGCCGGGTTGGCTCAGGCACTGCGATCTGTTGTGGGGATCACGCACTTGACGATCCCTAAAGTCAGCTTATTACCGACGTTACGAGCATCTAATTCTGACACCATCGATGAAGGAGGTGAAACTGTTGGAGTATGTGGAGTAACCTACATATGGTGCGACGGGTGGACTCAACCGAAAAGCTTCATCACATAGTCATAGGACGACGAAATTACATTGCAGTATGATGAACCAATGTTTGAGATCCCATGCTTGACTTTGAAACAAATTCTGACATGCACCCCTCAGTGTATGAATTAGCTCACTAGGTGGTGTCTGGACATGATTGAATGCAACGCGAACATCACACTCAATCATATCCAGTCACCTCGTGGGAGACAACCCAGCTCGTTCACAGATCTGTCAGAGCAGCCAAAACCGGCGCTAATGGCAAGAGCAGCAGAGTGGGGACGCAGATTGGTATGAATTCCGATATGAATTCAGAACGTATCTTCAAAAGCTCTTCATGCAATCTCAGCAGGCATATAGTGTAGGGCAACTGACCATCCTCCTCAAAACTGATCTGTTCAGCCGTGTCTTCCCATGTTGTGCTTACCAGCATGCAATAAATTCAGGAGAATATGTCCGGCAAAGCGTTCCTCATACAGTTGTCCATAGGGGGAAGTCGCCGCCATGAACTTGGGAAGGCATCGACCACGTCGCTGAGATTCCTGCCTCATGCAAACCAATTCCAGAAAACCAGCAAGGTTATTCCACAGCGAGAGGCCAGAACAAATGCCTTGGTCAACGGTCTTTCTGCCCATATTTATACACCCAGCATGTAGTGTCAGATGTTCAGGCTGTTTTGTCACTTGGCAGCTGAGACCATGCAGAGTTGTAGATGTTTGGCAGCGGAGGCCATGCACATGCAGTGATAAATTCCATACAGTCCAATCATGGTGCAGCGGGGCCATGCAGGTGCAGCTGTGAATGCCATACACTCCATCATAGGTAACAAACATGCAGTGTCGCCGTCACGTTAGGCCTGCAGAATTCCATGTTTCCGCGCGGGCGCGGGGTAGTGGTTTCTTAAGGAAAACCCGTATAGCACATAAAGAACCCATGCAAAGTGTAAACAACATAGGAAAGACTAGGACTAGCCACTAGATACTAAAAGGAAAAGGATAAAACATGCTGAAGTGGGGGTTTAGTGGGAATAGGGATACAGTGGGCTTGTAGTATGAAGAGTACAGCAAAGTAAAAGAGTTACAACAGAAAGCAGAAATCCAGGGACCCCAAGAAAAGACCCCACACAAACCAGGCTGTCCTGGGAGCGTATCTTGCACACACTCCTGCTTTCTGTGAAGTAGGGATTATGCCCCCACGACGGCGTCCATGGGCCAGGGTAGTGTGGCTTGGGAATCAGAGGTGTATGAGTCTACTTGGGTGGGCCTGGGGCGCTTATCCGAGTGTAGAGAGTGAGCAGGGTTGAAACCATCTGAGTGTGCTGCAGGGGGTGGTTCAATAGTTCTTGTGTTGTTTGCTAGATCCTCTTCGCTATCACTAAGCACCAGGGTTACTGGAAGACCCTGTTTGAGTTTTCCCACTCCCCATACTTTACGTGATGAACTTCCTGGGAAATCACACAGGGTAGTTTGTCGAAGCTGCCCAGGGCCCATTAGTACTCTAGAGTAGAAGTCAACCTCTAAGCTATCCGGTGTAATAAAGCCTAGGGAGTTGAGGGCACCGTCGAGTTCCTTAGAAATGCTAATGGATCCCATGACTGTAAAGGCAACTGCCACCACTCGTCGGTTACACCAATCTTCAGTGGCATGAAGGAGCCTTTTGCCTGTGAAGATGAGCGGGGCCCCACAATCAAAACTGTGCAAGGAGCCCTGAAGGATACCTCCCATATAGTCTTTCGATACAGTGCCTGAAGGGGATTCGACCCAAATTTCCCCCCCTGTGAAGTCACTTAAGGCAATAACCGCTTGTGGATAGTGAGAATTCCGAAGATCCCTGTGAAGCCCTTTACCCGCAGAATCCCGAATAGCAATAGTTGAGAACTTATGGTGAGGGGTAACCAGGTGGAAAAGGCTACTAAGTTGACAGGCTAAATATTGTAAAGGGGCTGTTGCAACACAGAGGCGTGTTAGGTCCCGAGGATTCAGTCCTAGGGTGAGTGTGTGCCCCGAGCCTTCCGCTAGCTTGTATTTTGCAGGGGCATCGTCAAATGCCTTAAGGATCTGCCTCTTTAGTTCAGAGACCTGTTGGGTAGGATCGGGCATGTAGGGCGTGGGTTCGGGGCTGGCTTTACCTAGAAGAGCCATCTGAGCCACACTTTCACATTTCAGGCGGAATACTCCAATTAGTTTGGGTGCCAACATGCCGGGTAAGAAGTTGTTGCGAGGAAGATGTAGGGTCCGAGGAGGGGGTAGGTTCAAGGTTTGGAGTAGGGGGCATAAACGACCTAGCAACTATAACTGAGGTTTCATAGACTTGTCGCTCCATCCAGACTACCCAGTCATGTACTTCCTCTCTCGTATGGGTGTGTACATTATCCGCTACAGGGTCCGCAGAGCTGTCTAGCCAATAAGGAGCGCATTCCATAATGGCATCGTGAACAACTACAATGCCATCTAAAGGGTAGGTATTACGCTTCTGTGCAAACCTAGAGTACAGAGAATCCGCAGCTACCCTAGCCACTCCAGCAGGCATGCTCTGCAGTTCACGTCTGAGTCTTTGTTTCAGTTCAGCCTGCTCCAGGGGCATTGCTTCCAGTTCTGCACATGCGCAAGAAGCTTGAGGCTAAAGGGGTCTCTGTGGATGCATCAGACGAAAGTGTGTTTCTGGGGAGAGCGGTTGTTCATTAATGGGGTCTTCGGGATTGACAACGCATACCCTTTCACTGCGAAGCCGTGGGTCTCCTGTAGGCCACAGATAGGGAAGATTCCAGTTGGTGTGGATACCAGAATAGCAGTCTAAGGTGTGATAAACACGCATGGAAACACGTTCAGCCCAAAGAAAGATGCGGTTTAGGGTTTAGGGTTTAGGGGCCTGTCTCGCATTGGAACACTTCGACTTAGATTAGCCAAGCAAGGGCCTCAGAAGGTTGCGAACATGTCTCCACAAACCGGCTCAATGCTTGCACGGCAAGAGTGGCATGGGGTGTAGACGCTGCTTGATCCCAGTCGGCTAACACAAAACTTGCGCATGGATGTTCCCGTCAAAGCTCAGGAAGCTTCTTCAAGACATCCACCTATTCCGATGACTTCCTATCCAGCATCCCCAGAAGACAAACAACCACACCCTCATCTTCTCCTGTGCGAACGACTGGCTGGGCAAGCCATGCCGCTCGAAGATAGACAAGAAATCAAAAAGCTGGCCATGGACCTCAGTCTCAAGCAAGCTAGCAGCCTGCTCTCGCAGCTGGGGTAGCGATTTGTCGGGCTAGTAGCCTCGCAGCTTACGATTTCGACTGCCCATGACTTTTCATATGCTGGGTCCGGGCTTGTCTGCGCTACTTTACCGAAGCAGGGCTTCGCTTATGTACTGGTACATGGCTGAATAACTCCCAGCTAAAAGGACCGCCGAACGGTTTTGACAGGAAAGTCTTGTTTCGATACTTTTTCAAAAGTCCAAGTCGGCACAGCTCCCACCAGCCCAGGCACATCGCCCACTACGTTGAGATACTCGCCTTTGGGTACCTGCTTTCAGTTGATAGGTTCTGGTCACGGGCTTGCGGCTTCAGAAACATATAATTATCGACTACCGACTTGCGTTGTTACTGACTGTCTTTGGCCGTTACTCGACAACTTTGGCTGTTACTGAGAACGCTGATCGACTACCTGTTGGAGAAACAGCGAAGGAAAGAGCAAACGAAGAAGATATAATATAGTAAGT